GAATGTTAAAATTTGAATGTTAAAATTTTTACAACTTGTTAACATGTTTACGAAACGTATGTAGTAGGTAAAGATAACCATTAAACTGTACCTACTTAATTAAAGATAAGTTTGTATTTATTTATTTTTCCTATGTACAAATAAGGTAAAAGCTATTTATTTATTATGATAGACAGAAACAACAGAGGGCAGAAACAGCAGAGGAGGAGGAGGTTGTTAAGTTTTCTTTCTTTCAACGCTTGCGTTGTATTTCGTGTGAGTGAGGTTACCGGAGGCCCAATTACCCTCCCCTTCCCCAATCTCCCTAATCCCTGAATTCCCAACGATCCTCAAACTCCTAATCCGCAAAAGGCCGGTAACGCACTTGTAACGCCTCTGGTGTTCCAGGAGCCCGTCCGTTCCGTCTGCTCGTTTACCGGCTTATGCCATAAAAAAACAGGACCACTTAGTACAACCTCTAACTTCTTACTGGAACTAAATGAGTTTGTGTAAGTTATGTATGTACCTACATCTGATTTCATCATTATTTAATAGTAAAATTAACTACAATTTCGAAACAATCTAAATAGTCACTGTACATAACATAGAACTTCCATAAAATCGATAAGTAAATCGATTACGTACGATTTGTATCGATGATTCATCGGTAGGTATAACATCGGCCCTGGTATTCGCGGGGTATGCGCAGGTTATCAGGCTTGAACCCTGTTATCTTAGAGAAATTGTACGCAGCTTCCGGTCAACCGAGATCTTGGTTAAGTATATTAAGTAATCAATTCGAAGAACGTTGACTTTGATAATGAATATGTTTAGAAAGTTTTGTGTTTCGAACAAGATAGTGTTAAAAAAAATTTGGGCATTGGACGGTTTTGATATCCCTTTTAACAATTGATTGGTAGAGTATTTTATTGCTCGTTCTTCGCTATTAACATTTTATACTTTAAATGGTTCTCCATTTAAAGTAGCTTCTAGCAGCATATACCTACGACAAAATTATAATTTTTATTAAACATTCTTGGGTATTTATCTAAGTATATTTTAAAAGAAAGGATGTAATATTATCCTCATTACTTAAATAACGTCCCCGTTACGATATACAAGCGTAATTTACTGATAAATAAAAGCAAAAAGCTTAACAAACAACAATTCCAAAACCTAAACACTACTACACAATTCAGAATCAAATCACCATAATTCAAAGGACAAATTCCAACTTCCAAATTTGAATTAGCAGCAAGTAACCGCCTACATGAGCAGGCGCCTACACTTGGCAACACTTGGCAATTGTTTGTTAACTGCCGCTAAATGTGATCCAGTAATCGAGGGGATTATCAGAGGTTGCTATGGAATTAGCGTGGCGAAAGTTCGGTCAAAGAGTGTGTGATTCATTGGTGTGTGAGTATTATGTATGAGTCACTCGCGATTTCTTTATGAGGCAATCAAATTGTATTACGTGTGAGTTTGCGCTCACGGCTAGCAGTTATACCTGTAATATTGATAACTACTTATGGCCGCAGGCTTTGCTTGACCTTTGAAATCTCTGTTTCGAAAATCTAAGTTAGAAATGGGAAACAATACATGTAGTTTTTATCTGATGTCCGTATTATTTTACGAGCGTGATAAGTGGTTGTACAGTTAAAATATGGTGCAGTTATCTGATAAGTCATTGAGACGAAAGATGTTCCTAAAGCTATTCAAATTTCTTATTAGCATTATTAATGTATGTATGTAGCTCAATCGATAAGGTGACTGTGTGAAAATAAATTGTGGTCTAAGCACGATTGATTTTTTTTATGGGACAAGCCCGCCACAACCTCCAAAAATCGCTGCAGCTCCTTTAAGCCAAGATCTACAGTGGATACTACCATGAAAACACCGGAACACTGAAGTCCAGCGCGTCTCAGGGACATGAGTAACGGTCTTGGTTCTCACAACGAAGTGAATCAGAAGACATTAAAAAAGGGGAAAAAGAAAAAAAAATAAAAAGCACGATTGATTGTAAAAACTAAAGGCCAGAATTGTTAAATGATCTCTATCTACAATCTATCTTTTTTTTAAGGGGGAAATCATCGAATGACTTCTACCGCCTGGGTGAGGCGGGAAAGAGTGTCAGACTCTTACTGACTAAAAACCACCCCGTTCCTTCTCCTGCACTTCAAGCCGAAGCCCCGGTCACCTTTTACATTCTCCGCGTCTACCGTACAATCAATTTTTACATACATCTGCATAAGTTTATGGCGGAAATTTGGTATAACTATGTAGTTCCAAAAACTGACATAAGTCGGATTTCAGATTAAAACTAGTTCTAATTTTGTCGTCGTAAGTGATATTTCATCTTCGCTATTCATTCAAGCAAGATTGACAACAAATAGACTTGGAAAAGTTTATATAAGATTTCCTGGCACAAATAGACCACGTCCTTAACTCTTGGCTGTTAAATTGAACCCCAGTTAACAGCATATATATGTCAGAATACGAGTTATAGAACAATTTCCAGTGAAATAGAACAGGAAGTCTCATTAAAAATCTCAGATCGTTCTAAATATACAGCCACATAGTTAACGTACAGCGAAATCCATCCACTTTCTCATGGACATTAAAAATATCGATGTGGGTTAAGAATCGACTCACGCGCACGCGTTAACTGCGCGCGCGCATCCTGTGCGTCGTAAACTTAAGCCCATTGTGATAGTCCGGATACTTGGCGATTTATTTACTTTGAGATTTCGCTTTGTTATTGTCTTATTCAATAGTTATTTTATGAGGTGTACGTACTTTTAAAAAAATATATTTTTGGTACAATTTAAACCTATAATCTGACGTCGGCAGAAGAATAATTAATTTGGCGATTAATTAAATTTTACTGTCTGTACTTTTGATAAAATATAAATTTTCAAAATGTAACTGCCGAATACGGGGTTTAGCGAAGCTGGTAAAAAATGAGAGGCATGTCATTCAAAAAAGTTCAGCATAATGAGGCATACACAGTCGACTTAAATCAAACACATTTGAAAGCGTAAGTAACAGTTGCTGAACATCTAATCGATAGTTAAGTAGATACTGATCCAAGCCATTTCCTTTATCAATAAGCTTTACTCTCCTATCCCAATTTTCTATTTGTTACTACACACTGTGTCACTATATTATTATTACTTTTCCTGCTCCAGGTCCACAGGAAGAAATTCCAATAGGAATAGGTGGTACCTTTGTACTTTAATTTTATGTATGGGTTGTCCTTTATGTTGTATGTGTTTACATAAATAAATAAAATAAATACTCTTCAATTGCCACCCTGTCTATCTTATTATTCCTCTTTCATACTTCTTTATTTAGTTTACTATAATGCAACAAGGTTTCCAGCTTCACGGCGCAACCCCATTGTTCAAGAACTTCGAGATAACAAACGAGACATATTTAACTTGTTTAGCAGAGTTTAAACTGACCATATAACAAAGCCTTCATGTCTAATATGAAGTGAGGGTATTACTCGTTCCGACAAGACACATTACGTCCATCTAGCGAACAAAGCGCGATGGCTGCGCAGGAGTCGGTAGATATGTGAGATAGATCATTACAGAAGGTTTACTTTGAACTGGTTAAGTCTGGTATTATTCGAGGCTAGTATAGACGTATTGGTTTTATTTTATCCCAATTAATATTAGAACATAAATGCGAATGTGAATCTGAAGCTGTATTGAGTTGAGATGAGATAGAAGCTTTGCTCGGAAATATTTTAATCTTTCCTGTTTTTGGGTTAATAAACCATTAAATTTCTAAGTTATCATAAGGAAAACCAAAGTGGTTGTTAATTAAATAACCGTACAAGTATACACTCTAATTTCATCGCTGCTTTATAATAATAATTTCCTCCTCAAAATATTTTTTACAGTATCTTTTAATTTGTTTCTAAGATAAAATCTAAATCAATAAAAATTTATCAAGATTGGAAATAGACCAGCATTAAAACCACAGCTGCTCAGTCTTAACCTTCTGTCACCCGCATGTAACGTCACGTTGCGCAGGAGTTGCCGTATATCGTATAAATCAGGCGCGCGTGCGCGGTAGCTGTCACGCGCATGCGCGCCACGACACACGTCACGGGGACATGGTATCGTCATCTGTTCGTGATTTCGGAAGGAGACGTTGAACTCTGTTTATAGGACCTTATTTGTAAGCAAAAGGATCCTTTGAATTATAAAGTATTTTCGCAAGACAACTCATATTTTTCCCTAAAAAGGTATGAAATATAAGTAAGTCCAAGTCTTTTGAGACTTGAGTCATTCTTTAATACATTTTATTTATTATTTCATTTAGGATTTGTTCATAATTTCTCTGCAAATCGAGTCAAGAACCTCATACGCCACTACTACACAAGAATCATTTAATACATACTTAATATAAATGATGTTATTAATAAACTTCGATAAGAGTTGTATGAATAATGGCGCTGCAATCGCATTACGGGAAGCCTCATTGATTTCATCTGGTGAGGTATGGCGAGGCAGGAGATATGAGGAGTATATCGCATTGTGCTGTCACGATCACCTTCTGTTCGAATAAACGTGGGTTCAGTTCTTGTGTACTGTTTCTTGAGTAATTTATAGCAATACGGGTACAGGGTGTGAAGGTTTTTATGAGAGATGTTGTGAGTTTTGTAACCGTTTTGAGCTTAATTGTGATATTGTGATAAGGAACGGTGATGATATTAGTGATAAGATGTGAGATCAATGTACTGCTAACAATCTACCTGATTACATAACGTAGGTGGTTGGTACTTTTATCTTATTTAAAATTTAGGAATTAAAATAAGATGGTCAAAAATCGAACCATTATTACGTCTTATTAAGTCTTTCTCACAATTACAGGATATCCTAGTTTGTATTTCCTATTTATTTAACCTTTTTTCTATTTTTTTTTTTTATAAGTACGCACACTTTCGTAATTCTAGAACTTAGCCAAAACTATAAATTTTGATAAAATAAAAATATATCAGCACTTACTTGGATTCTTATCAAACTGCATAGGACTACACCGGTCCAGGGTCCTGACATTGCCCTCAGCGGCATAGTTCCTGTACCCTGGCTCGCACCGGTACACTGCACCAGGTCGGGTCACGTTGTACTCGTATGCAGAGTATAGCTGGTCTTCTGGAGCACCAACTAAGATCCTGGATAAGAGAAGATGGAATTAGAAATGGGACTTATTTACTAAGTTTTAATCATAATGCTATTTTTATTTTATTCTATTTGATAGCCTCGTTAGTCAAATGGCGGACATGGTTTCTGAGCAAGATCTCCGAGATTCGGTTCCCGGGTTGCGAGCAAAGAAGTATTGTTTTGTTTCCGGATTTTCTAAAAGGTTTTTAGTAACACCAGAATAGCGCCCGATGGTGCTTGACATAACGTATTATGAAACAAAAAAATATAGAAACACATTCCTCTTATCTCTTCACAACATCTACAACACAACCCAAAGACAGACGGACAGATAGACAATAAGCCATAGTAAACCATAAACAACATCATATCAGTTCGGTCAGAGTCAGGACAAAGCAATCACACCACCATAGCTCAGGAAACGGGTCAAACAATCAAACGACGCTGGCACGCCGCCAGCACGCAAATAGACCGGGGTTCATTCCCGGTCGGGTACCTCGCCAAATTGTATTTCTATACCCTGAGTCATATGTGACGTATGACGTGTCTGTTATAGTGTGATGTCATGGGGTTTGATGTTGAAAACATGGTTGTGAATGAATTTTCACTAATTTTAGACATTTTTAAAAACTTCTATGTAAGTATAGCCGTTTGTTTGGAACTTATACTATGAATATCAGACATACATCAAATCAAACAAACAAATATATTTATTTCTATTTTGTTCACATATACTTAATCCAAGCTTATTTAACTATTCTAGGTAAATCAGGTAAATCAGAACATTAATCCCATTTTCACACTATGAACCAATCAATAACCTGAAATTGTAAAGAATAATCTTATCTAGAGATAGTACTGCACTGAAGAGACTGTTAAAATAAGAACTAAACTTTAAACTCCAAAATCTCTGACAAATTTAATTATGAAAAAACCGGAAAATCCCAATAATGCAACTCAAACCATCTACGACACTTTGCGAACCCCAACACAACTAACGATACACTTCCGAAACAAACTTAACGTTTAAACTTAAAACACATTACAAAAGAGACATCAAAAAGTTTAAATCACCATGTCTGCCCTAGGTGGGTAGGCAGAGGTGTGGAAATAGCGAACTGGAAATAGTCCCCTTTCCGGCGACAGAAATAGCTGAGTCACCGGGAGAATTCTACTCGGTTGTCGAAGGGGACAGTTTAGAGGTTATTTCGTATATTACCTTGCTATAAAGTTGACTGTGAAAAGCTTTTTATACTATAAAAGATTATTCAGAGAAGTAAAAATATTGATGTATGTGGAATCAAAAGGAAATGCGTTATACCTACTTAGGGCATCTAGAATTATGAATATTGTCTGTCTACTTCTATTCAAAGAGACGTGAAAAGAGGTTCAGAATTACCATAATCGAATTCGCCGATGGTAATTTGAAGTCTATTTTCAATCAATATCTAGCCTTTGCAAGTCATTAAATAGCTTATTTTATAGTCTTGAACATTATACCTCTTCTAATCCAAAAATTTACGACAGCGACATACGACATCTTAACACCTAATATTAAAACATAAGTTAAATAGTCAACTATTCAATAAATGAGTTACAAAACAATATTTTGACAAGTCAAGCAGGTAATACATAAAACAGTACTTCGACTTGACGACGTGTCAAGTAAGTACTTTACATAAAAATCAAAAAGTCCCCAGCGCCGGCGGCAGGTGATTTGGCAGTATGCCAGATATGAGTCACCTGCCAACCCTAATTCTGTCGCCGCCGTAATGACCTGTTTATGATAATCAACCACTTTTGCGACATAAGCGAATGTACCTATACGCACCTGCACTTCCTGAGTCCTAACTGATACAAAATCTTGGTTTATAGGGGTACAATCAAAGTAAGAGGATTTGGCCACAACAAAAAGTTGCAGCCTCGAATTAATTAAAAAACGTGACAAGATATTTTCAAAAAATCATTCATCATTTTGACTAACAAACAATATAGTACTTACTTGTAAAAACAAAGAAACAAAGGATACTAACAAATAAGCAAATGATAAATCGCTATCACCTAACTCGATTACAGATTCAACTTTGTTAAGAAAACGAGTAAACGTTACACAAATAAGCTTCATAAAAATACGGTTGACAACCCTACTCCCGCGGACAGAATTAACCCTGCAAACGCAATATGTGGGTACAAAGTGTAAGCACCTGCATAAGATTGTGCACAGATTATACAACCGATACTTGCGAACGGAAACAGTAACGTTGATAAACTTTGACAGTTATAGCCCAGTGCAAACTCGATGGATACTACTAGGAAAGTAAACCCTACTGCTTGAGGATAAAGGTGTTAGGTAAATAAATTGTAACCATGTGTATTAGATTAGATTCGCTACACTAAGAGCTAACACTTCTAGGGAATAAAGTAGTGCTTATATTTATCGTGTGTGAATTAAACTTTCTTATGTTTTACAGTTGCAGATGTATCTTACAATTTCATGTTTTACATTGTTAAATTTTGTATGATTTTGATGATAACTTTGGCGAGAAAAAGGTGGGGATAGTAGTCAAACGTAGAGCCATCAAATATATAAAAAAATGGAGTAATATCAGGATATTGAGCCAATAAGATTTATGCAGGGTATAAAACTTAATATGGTAGAGGAATTAGAATACAAAGAGGTACAAAAATACCTCTAATTAAAATACTAGAAAAAATGTATCATTAAAAATGTAAAAATCGTAGCAATTGGCATTGGCAGTCTCTGCCTACTCCATGGGAGGGAGGTTATTTATGTATGTATGTAAACATGACCAATACAATAAAGTTATAACAGTTACAGAATAAAGTAAAAAATATACAAAATAGAACTCAACAACAATATTCTCAGTTTTCTAGTAAATAGTACAGCTACTCACAACATTATACCTTTGAACTGGGTGCTTAAGACCGCTGGAAATGGTTCACAGCGAACTATAAACCGTTTCCTACAGCTAGGCGTGCCGCGACTAATCCGTCCATGTGTACAACATGACTCGCTAAACTTAGGGTTAAGTTATTTGTAGGTAAAGACTTTACAGTTATCTACACAGTAATGTTGCGCTAGTCCTTTTTGAAAAGGATTAAGTAAGTAGTTTGTTTTTTAACCTGCAGTATTTTTATGGGTTAGAAACCCATTGGTATTTTTATTATTTGGACGAGTTAGGCAGGTTAAGTGACGATATCCGAAAAGTAACTGGCAGGTAAAATAAATACAAAATTTAAAAAAACGACCAGATGTAGATGGAAATGACATTATTGATGATGACGATAATATTACATTTTAAATAGCACCTATTAATACAAGCTTAGGTTTAGTGAGATTATTGAAATCACATTTTTTTATGGCATAAGCCGGTAAACGAGCAGACGGATCACCTGATGGTTAGCAATCAGCGTCGCCCATGGACACCTGCAACACCAGAGGCGTTACAAGTCCGTTACTGGCCTTTTGGGGATTGGGAGTTTGAGGATCGTTGGAGATTCAGGAATTGGGGAGATTAGGGAAGGGGAGGGTAATTGGGCCTCTGGTAACCTCACTCACACGACGAAACACAACGCAAGCGTTGCTTCACGTCGGTTTTCTGTGAGGCCGAGGTATCACTCCGGTTAAGCTGGCTTATTCGTGCCGAAGCATGGCTCTCCCACACTTAAATACATATATTATATACAACATAAGATATAAACGGACATAGATACATAATTCAACCCGTTAATGGAATTCGAGGCTTAATAATAATGAGTCAATGCTCCCAATCAGTTTACAGTCAATAAAGAAAACGTTCATCATTTAATCAATTTGAATAATTTGCAATATGACTATACTGACTGGTCAGTCTGGAGTCTGGATTGAGTGTGAAATTAGATCACTGTGTAGGCTCAAAAGGTTAATTAACATTAATGAATGCTCCTTAGCGACTGTGGCAGATATTTTGATTACGGACGCAGACGAAAGACGACAAAAGTAAAGTCCAAAAGCAAATGATGTACTTTTTATTACCTATACATAAATAAGTAACAGTGGTCAGTCAGCTATGCGGTCTGGTAAAGGCAGAATAGAATACATTTGTGTCATCATCACCACCGCTGCTCGTCTCACGGGTGTAGCAGTGTTGTTTAATAAACCTGGACCATTTAATCGATCTTCAACCTGCCTACCAAGAGCAAAAATTATGGCAAACATAACATAATATAACATCACGCCTTTTATCCCCGAAGGGCTAGGCAGAGGTGCACATTACACCACTGTACAATGTAACACCTACTTTTCACTATTTATGTTATGAGTCCCATGTAATAGGCTAACTATTGCCATATACCGGGCACAATTCCAGACTCCGTTCTACTACTGAGAATTTTTTTAAAAACCCAGTTATAAGTACTTTGCCCGACCCGGGAATCGAACCCGAGACCCCTTGCCCGGCAGTCGCACTTACGACCACTCGGTCAATGAGGCATATTTGCAAACCTCCTTATATTAATTAAGCTGATAGTCTAGCATTGAACTGCCACGGATAGTTTTTAATATTTCAGAAATAGAAAAAGCGAGTACTTTAACATCTAGAGGCTTGTCATAAACCCTTTTCTACAAAACCTCACACGTCAATGTCCTATCAGATCTCCCAAACATTGGATCAAAACTATTGCCCAACATTGCGTCAAATGTTGGCTAATGACGTTAGTCATCAGTGGTCATTGTGTGGGCATCAAACAACACAATGGTAGATCATCAATTACTAACAATACTGACACACAGATTTAATTATATATAATAGAGAAATGATCTTTAGGATTAATAGTCATGGTACTTAGGGATCTTTCTTTGTATATGCGTATAAAGCTATTTGAACCTGTTTATGGATTTTCAATCTAAATGTTATTGTATTGTAGTTGAAAGTCTACTGGAACCTCCTTAATTGTTAAAGTTTATATTCTTAGACTAAAAAATACGAACCTAAAAAACATTATCATTCAA